CATAACCTCTGCCTAGCACTTCTGCTAGGAGGAAGCTTGTTATTCTTTAAATTTGAAGCTCCCATTTGAATAACAACCACAACAAAAATCTAGGATTTTTTTCTTATGTCTTTCATAAAAATACTTATATTTGCAAATATTCCACAAAGATTTCTGCAAAAATAATTCTGCTTTTGTATTTTCACAAATGAAGAGTTCTAGTGTCAATGATAAAACAATCCCAATAAATACATGCTGTCATATTTTTGGCAGGATTTCAAGTTAAAATGAATCTGTCTCAGCCCTGAGTTATTATTTTTATTGCCACTTTTTATGGCTGCATTAATTACCACACATACTGTGAGGGATGGGTGAAGTTAATTGTTTTTATAAACTAAGTTAAAGGAAGGGCTAATGCAGAGTGACTGAGCTTTGTCATGTGGACTTACTTCAACAGAGGGGTGGACAGACCACTCCATGTGAGCTTCAGCTGACGGTTATTTTAAATGTCACCTGGACATGCATTGTTTTCTTTGTAGTCACTTGCACAGCCCTTTTTACTTTTGGTTTCTTGAAAACATCTGTGGGGGGTAGGGTGGGGGATGCTGAGCTTGGGGGCCATGAGTGCAGTTGCGTGGCTCTGCTTTCTCTCATATTCTTTTTTTTTTTTTCATTCCGTATTAAGCATAGTTCATCTTTTTTAGAATTTTTTTTAATTAAATCTTTATTGTTCAGATTACATTTGTTCCTCTTTTTTTCCCCCCATAACTCCCCTCCTCCCAGTTCCCGCCCCACCCTCCGCCCTCGCTCCCCACCCACTGTCCTCATCCATAGGTGCACGATTTTTGTCCAGTCTCTTCCCGCATCTCCCACTCCCCTTTCCCCTCCAAGAATAGTCAGTCCATTCCCTTTCTATGTCCCTGATTCATTATAATCACCAGTTCATTCTGTACATCAGATTATTTATTCACTTGATTCTTAGATTCACTTGTTGATAGATGCATGTTTGTTGTTCATAATTTGTATCTTTACCTTTTTCTTCTTCTTCCTCTTCTTAAAGGATACCTTTCAGCATTTCGTATAATACTGGTTTAGTGGTGATGAACTCCTTTAGCTTTTCCTTATCTGTGAAGCTCTTTATCTGACCTTCACTTCTGAATGATAGCTTTGCTGGATAAAGTAATCTTGGTTGTAGGTTCTTGGTATTCATCACTTTGAATATTTCTTGCCATTCTCTTCTGGCCTGCAAAGTTTCTGTTGAGAAATCAGCTGACAGTCGTATGGGTATTCCCTTGTAGGTAATTGAGTCTCTTTCTCTTGCTGCTTTTAAGATTCTCTCTTTGTCTTTTGCTCTTGGCATTTTAATTATGATGTGTCTTGGTGTGGTCCTCTTTGGATTCCTTTTGTTTGGGGTTCTCTGCGCTTCTTGGACCTGTAAGTCCATTTCATTCACCAGGTGGGGGAAGTTTTCTGTCATTATTTCTTCAAATAGGTTTTCAATATCTTGCTGTCTCTCATCTTCTGGCACCCCTATAATTCTGATGTTTGTACGCTTGAAGCTGTCCCAGAGGCTCCTTACACTATCTTCGTATTTTCGGATTCTTTTTTCATTTTGCTTTTCCGGTTGGGTGTTTTTTGCTTCTTCGCATTTCAAATCTTTGACTTGATTCTTGCGCTCCTCTGGTCTGCTGTTGGGTGTCTGTATAATATTCTTTATTTCAGTCAGTGTATGCTTAATTTCTAGTTGGTTCTTTATCACAACATCGAGGGTCTCATTAGATTTCTTGAGGCTCTCATCAAGTTTATCAGCAGCTTCTAGCAAATTATTGAAAGCCCTCAAAAGTGCGTTTTTTAGCTCTATATCCTCCATTTCTGTCATGTTTTTTTGTCTCCGCATTTTTTATGCTTTCTTGGTGCACCCCCTTGTGGTCTTTGTGCGCAGTCTTGTTCTAGTTAAGCCTTTATTGTTGTAGTTAATACTAGAGGGATTTGACCACCAGGCCAACTGGCTGTGAGAATCAGCTGTGTCTGCAGTGGGAAAACTTCTGTCCTCTGGAGAGGTGCTAATCTAGCCTTTGCCTGAGGCTATCTGGCAAATGGCTCTGCGCAGGGCTTAGGCGGGTCGGGTCGAAGGGGATCAACAGGGCGGGTGGAGGGAGCAGTTATGGCTGCTCTCGGTCCCGTTCCCAGAGGCTCTGCTTCTCAGAACCCCAGCAACCGCTGCAAACCTCGGAGAGAAAGCTGCCCTCACGTTCCGACTGATGCCAGACACTCCCGCTTCTCCCGTTTGAGTCTGAGTCTCTAGAGACTCGCCCGGATCTGGAGCTCAGAGTCTGAGACTCCCTCCTGATTGAAAACGACAACTGCGCCCTCAGCCACCAGCCGGCTCCACGCGCACCTCCGTACCTTTGTATTTTCCACACTGCGCCTCCTCTGAGCCTCGGTATGCTGTTCTCTTTCCTTCTAGTTGAAGAATCTCTCCTCAGCCAGCCTTCCTGTGGTTCTGGGTGATGTCCGTTCCGTCTTTTAGTTGTATTTTTGAAGTGGTTGTTTGCGGCAGCAATCTCCGGTGTTTACCTATGCCGCCATCTTGGTTTCTCCTTCTCTCATATTCTTGCCTGTGCCAAGGCTACCACACGCCTCTGTCTTAGCCCATTTGGGCTGCTTTGACAGACTACCACAAACCAGTGGCTTATAAACAGCAGCTCTTCAGGCTGCAAGTCCAAGGTCAGGGTGCCATCAGATTTGGTGTCTAGTGAGGGTCCGTTTCCTAGTTCTTCTCTGTCCTCACGTGGTGGAAGGGGCAAGGGAGCTCTCTGGGGTCTCCTTATAAGGACTCTAACTCCATTTTTAAGAGCTCCACTCTCATGACCTAATCACCTCCCAAAGGCCCCGCCTCTAAACACCATCACATTGTGGATTAGGATTTCAACAGCCTCTTCTCATTCAGATTTGTAGATTTTAGGATGCTGCTCTAATCCCCTTTTTGCAGATGAAACAGCGAGACTTTAAGGGGCCGAGTCTGAGACCACATAGGTGAGGACATGGAGGAGCTTACTGACACAAAGCCCAGTCTAGTGACCACATAAGGCTGGTTTTCTTAAACAGGGCCAGCATTTCCAAACTCTATCCTGTGGAACACTATAGTCCTAAAGGATGATAACTTGGGATAAAAGTTCTGTGGTCAAAGGCATTTGGGAAAGACAGCACACTGTGTGCCTCACAGAGCTTCATAATGCACACTGGGGGGCAAGAAATCTGGCTTGAAGAAACCCATTTAATGCTGTTCAACCTAGCATTTCCCACACTTAACAAATCCTAGAGTCCACATTTTTTTTTGTTTTTTTCTTACAAAACAGTACTAATAGCCATTGAGAAATGGAAATCAAACTACAATAAGATATCACTTCAGACCCACTAGGGTGGTTATGACTGAAAAGATAGGTGGTAACAAGTGTTGGTGAGCATGTGGAGAAATTGGAGCCCTCAGACTGGTTGGAATAGAAAATGATGCTGTGGCTTTAGAGTTTCTCAAATGGTAAATATAGAGTTACTCTGCAACCCAGCTATTCCACTACTAAGTGTATACTCAAGAAAATGAAGGTATATGTTCATGTATCTACACAGAACCTTGTACACAAGTTGTTCATGGCTGCATCATTTACAACATCCAGTGTAGAAACAACCAAATGTATATCAGCAGATGATTTGATGAACTAAATGTGGTCTACCCAAGCAATGGAATATTATTCAATCATAAAAAAGAATGAATACTGACACATGCTACAACATGGATGATCCTTGAAAACATTATGCTGAATGAAAGAAGCCAGTCAGCAGAGGCCACACATTTTATGATTCCATTGATGTCAGATGTCCAGAATAGGCAAATCCAGATGACTGGTTGCTGGGGGAGAGGACGGATTAGGGGGTGACCATTTGTGATTTGGGGTTTCTGTTTGGGGAGATGAAATGTTCTCAAGTTGATCGTGTCGATGGTTGTACAACTCCGAATACACTCAAACACCATTGAGTTGTACGCTCTAAATGGATGAATTGTATGTGAATTATATGTCAAGCTGCTTTAAAAAACTAACTTGACATCTACCAGCACTCGGTTTCACAGCACAGTCTGGGAAGGGCTTCAGCAGATGCCTTGGCTCCCACCTGAGCAGCCTCTGTGAATGTGGCAGCAGCTGCCCCATGTCACCTGCAGCTGTGTCACCCCATCGGAAGCATCATTGGAGACAAATGCTGTATGATTTCACTTACAGGTGGAATCTAACAAACAAAATGAAACAAACAAACTCATAGATACAGAGAACAAACTGATATTTGCTAAAGGGGAGAGGGTGAAAGATGGGTGGAAAGGGGGAGGGGATCAAGAAGTACAAAATTCCAGTTATAAAATAAGTCATGGGATGTAAAGTACAGCATAGGGAATATAGTCAATGATATTGTAATAACTACAGTGACAGATGAGTACTAGACTTACCATGGGAATCACTTTGTGTAAGGTTTGTAAATGTTGAGTCACTATGGTGTACACCTGAAACTAATATCATATTGTATGTCAACTATAATTGAAAAATAAAAACTAATGCAGGACTAGTCAGAATTTTTTTAAAAGCATCATCATTATTTGAGAAAGTATCACAGGGCAGGGATTCAGTAGGATCTTGTTGTGTCAAGAAGACATGCAGGACCTAAAGCAACAGCCACTCTGTCCAATGATTCGTACTCTGGTTACACTGCTGCTCTTATGAAATACTTATGAGACCAAAAGCAAACAGGAGCCATGGGGAGTTTCTAAGTGGATCTGTAGTAAGGCTGGGCTGAGTGCTATGTCATAGTGACTCTTCCCCCAACAGCACTAACTTTCTGTTAATCACTGCCATTGATGCCAGGTTATCTGAACTAACTTGTGGCCATGGGGCAACTAAAAACTTTGGAGCTGGTTCCCCTGATCCTCCGGAGGTTCCGTTTCCACACTGACCACACCCTCTTCGCTTTCTTTCTAGTGAAAGCTGGTGGAATGCGAATTGTGCAGAAACACCCGCATTCTGGAGACACCAAAGAAGAGAAAGACAAGGACGAGGAGGAGTGGGAGACCGAGCCCAGGTAGGAGAGTGCTGGTGAATCTCGGGCGTGTGACACAAATAACTTATTCAGTTACACATTAATGTTTGTTCTCTGTCCTGTGCTTCTGATAACTCCTGGGCTGTTTGGGGCCCCTGCTGTGTATTTTTCCTTTTCTAATCAGCAGGAGGGGTGGGGTGGGGTGGGGGGAATATTTGTGTTCTCAGCCTGGGGAGGAAAGGGGCATCTGGAACACGCCCTCCCTGACTGCATCTGAGCATATGCCCTCAATCTGTGGGCAGCAGCCTGGAGACCTTGAAAATGCCATACCAGCTGAATCTTGGGTGGGCCTGGTGTTCTGTGCAGCCAGGGGAGAGAACTGTTGATTGTAAAAAGGTCCACATGCATCTGGGCTTTCCCAGTTCTTCAGCCAAATCGAGAATCAGCACAGCCACACACAGGTGTCCCTAAATGACATCTCTGTCCCAGCCCCTTCGGTCCCAGATAGCTCCTCTCCCTGCATTACAGCTCGTCTCCTTGCATTCCCCCATCTCTGTTAATGAACTATTTTCCTTGGAGGTTCTGATGTCAAGTTTGGTTCAAGGACCTCGGTATCAATCTGTATCCTCCCACCTTATAATACATAGACATGCACCAGAAATGCATATGCCTCCCTGAGCTTGTCCACTTAGAAGAACGTGATCACTGAGCTTTCTACCTTACAACTTGTCGCTAGACGGTGTCTCCCCCAGAGGAGGAAAGAACGTGTAGGAAGGGTGTGGAAAGCAGCTAACCTGTATTCCTGTGGATTAGGCGCATTGTTTAGTTTCAGTCCAGTAGTCCTTAATAGGAGGTGGTATTCTCCTGCTCTACCCATGGGAAACTCAAGTCCAGAGAGACGATAAACTTGCCCACACTGTGTGCCTTGCAAGTGGATGGGGCAGGAATTTAAACCCAAGCCTTACAGGGTCCTGAGCAGGCCAGGCTTCCAACTGAATTGCTCCCACAAGCTTATGCCCCCTAAAAAGGAACGTGCATATTCTTGGTGGCCCCAAGTGGGCCCCACCGGTCCGCTCATGTATGTGCTGAATCTCTGGTTGTTTTCTGCAATCTTTGGATGCTATGAGTTACCCTGCAGTCACTTGAGGGGTAGACAAAATTTGGGGCGAAGTTCTTGAGTGACTCTTGCCTATTTTAAATCATGAGATCAGCAACCTGAAGGTCCAGCCAAGTTCCAGTTTTAAAAGAAGTGGTTTAAAGAAAACTAGCATTATCTTCCTCACCAGCTATTTTCACAAAGCTGTGTTTGTAACATAACAGCATCAGTAACACCTAGAGGTCCACAATCCTGGGTCTGAAAATCTTGGGGCCTGCTTCAGTTCAGTGGAAAATTTAGGGGTTTTTGGACCAGTGATACAGATTTTAGGAGAATAAAAGAGTGCACATTCCAATCAGAGCCCTTAGTGGGGTTTCGGGCAGTGTATTGTGACCTGGTGTGATGTTCACATTTTCAAATCTACATGCTTGGGTCAGTTCAGATTAAGTTTTGCTTCCGTATGAGTTATAAGGAAACTGAACTTTCAGAAGATCCTTGAATGGAGGATGAGAGCATGTGGGCCTGGAGGTATTTCTGCACTAGAAAACCTGGGATGCCCCTTCTTCATATCCATTTGTTTCCTTAAGAGGGAAGAAAGAGGATGAGAGAGAAAGCCATGCCTGGAAAAAAAATTCCAGAAAGTTCATGTGATTGTAAGTGGCAGAAGGTACAAATAGCTTTTTCCTATGTAGCAGTGTCAATACAGTGAGAGGTGATAGTTTGTTATCATGTTTAGAAATAAGGACATAACAGCCCATGTGTTTTCTTTCTATTGATTTTTTTCATGAGGTGGAATGTGGCATTTATGGAAGATGCGCCGTTTAAATAAATATGCCAAAGAATGAATGATTGCAGAGAAGGGAGCAGGCACCCAGGACTCTAGAGTTTAGCATCGCGCTCACCACAAAGGTGTGTTCTCTCTGGAACCAAGGATTGTGTAGCAGGCAGAGTAGGGTTTGCATAGCACATGAGCAAGGGTTCTTTGTTCCCTGCAGCCCAGTGGCTGTCATAGGTTTCCTGTAGGTGTGCTCGCTCTTGTCCTCCTGACTTCAGCTTTGCTCTTGACACACCATGGGCAGGTGGGTGGGGTCAGCCTCCGTGGAGTCAAGCTGTTGACCTATGTTCTGTGTACCTGGTGCTCTGTGTACCGGTTTACTTCCACCACCGGGCTCTCCCCGTGTTCTCCCGGGCTGACTGAACAGTTCTAGTCAGTCATCCTCCCTAATATTTTAGAGTGCAACGAGTCTGGCCCTGTTCTAGCAGCTTAGAGGGGGCAAGTAACTTTTCGAAGCTCACACAGTAATGATTGGCTGAGCCAGCATCCTAGCAGTGGTGGCTGGGTCCAGAGACCTCACCCTTAGCCACTAGGCTGTGCTTACCAATGGTGTGCCTGCTTTGTGCTGGGCACTGCTGAGTGCTTCACGTTGAGTTTAAAGCTCACACACCTATGCGTTGATATGAATGTGACCATGAGAGAGATGAAGAAACCAAGGCTTAGGAGGCTCTCCAACCCAGTGATAGACAGCTGGCAGTGGCCAGGCCAGGAGTCATCCCTCAGTCTGTCTTGACTTGGATGCCCCTGCCTCTAATATGCTACTGAAGTCCCCTGAATTGGCAGAATATTTCTAGGATCAACATAGACTGTGACTCTGGATCCCCTTATAAAATAAACGAATAAATTATGGGGTTGCCCATAACCGTTTCCATATTCCTCAAGCCCATAATCCTACCCGTGCAGCCTCACATCAGTAGGTGGTCTAATTGTCAGGGTAAAACAAGGTTTTAGTGACTGGAAACACTTCACATATGGAAAGGCCTATCTTTACTGCAGAATTTGTCAAACATTTAATTATTCTCTTGGAAACGTCATGGTGTGTGACTTCCACATCACATTACCCTCATCCTGAAGTTTGTATGTTTTCAGGTTTGGATTCAAGTGTTTTCTGGATATGAAAACAAGTACATGGTCTCTGGTGCCAATTTCCTCCCTTGCAAAACACTTGGCTTTTCTTCCCATAGTTTTTTAAACTGGTTTTATGTTTACCCATTCATCTCTGGTGGCTCCCTTCCTCATTAATCTGATAATCAAGTACTGATTACAGGGACAATGAACAACTAGAGCATTAAAGAGGTTGTTCTGTGACCAAAAGTACTAATACCACAGCTTTTACTTGTAATTTTTTATTGCATATATTTATACAACTCTTAATCCTTTCAATCTTAAGTTTTTCGGAGATTTACAAATAATTACCCATGTTGTCAAATTGTTTTGAGGTGCTACATTTTTTTTAAAAAGCAGGGGGAGGGATGTAGCAGAAATCTGAAAATGTTGCTCGAGAATTTCCGTCCAGCTGACTTCTAGTTACCTGTGGCCCTTCACATCCAAGAGGAGTAATAGGCTTCACTATTATTAACTAACTAGAGGCCCAGTGCACGAATTCGTGCATGGGTGGGGTCCCTCTGCCTGGCTGGTGATCGAGGCCTATCGATGGGCTGGCCAGCAGGGGGGAGAGGCCTGCGGGAGGTTGGCTGGCCGGCCGGGGGGCAGGGGGGCGGGGGGCGGGAGGTTGGCTGTGGGAGTGCACTGACCCCAGGGGGCAGCTCCTGCGTTGAGCATCTGCCCCCTGGTGATCAGTACGCGTCATAGCGACTGGTTGACCGGCCGTTCCGGACATTCTGGTTGTTCGGTCGTAATGGTCGCTTAGGCTTTTATATATATAGATACTTTCCTCAGTGGCTGCTGGTTTCTATCTTAGAACTGGCCCAATTAAGGAAAGCCGTGATTTTCCTCAAAGCCTTTTGTTAAGCAAGTTGCATTATGTAAAGAAGTTGCAGACATAGCATGGAAATCAGGACTCAGTAGGAGCCACTAAAGAAAACAGTTTAGTGTCGAACATGTACTGAAGTCCTGTCAAGTACAAAGCCCAAACATGAATCTGGCTTGGTACAAGATAAAACAAGATAGGTGACAGGAAGAATGAACTAGAAATGGAAGGGTTTAGGTGTGGATTGGGAGTTGGCTGAGCTCAGCTCTTTACAGCTCTGATTAGGATTGCAGTCCTGTTTCACATAACCCAAAAATAAGCATACAGTTCAAATCACCCGTCATGTGGGAAAGACCTGTAATGGGATACAAGCATTAACAGATGAACCTAACTGTAATACAAATGTTTACATAGGTACTATAACCAATTGAAAGGAGTGGAAAGAAAAAAACCTAACCTAAGTAACTTTAGATACAGTATTTTGATCAAATACTATAAGGTTAAAAAAAATCATAAATGGTATACTCCAGTTAGTAAATGTGTTTCTTATAGGAGTATATTGGGTTAGCGATTCTGAAATTGCTTGATGTATATACTAAGATTGAACAAATAAGTAAGTATATTGTGGGTAGTGAGAGCCAAGTTGCTCACTGTCAGAGAAAAAGGTTACAAATAGGCAAGGGAGAAGATTAAAATGAACTTTGTGGTGTTGAGTTGGAATTGGAAGTATTAGTATGAGCTCCTAGTTTTAAATAGATGGATGGATGGGTGGGTGGATGGATGATGGGTGTTGGGTGGATGGGTGGGTGGATGGATGGATGGATGGATGGATGGATGGATGGATGGATAGGTAGATGGATACATGATTGGATGCATGGATGCATGAATGGATAGATGGATGGATAATAGATATATACTCATATACATACATGCAGAAATAGATCTAGATGGGGAGGATTAGTATGCACACCTATTGTTCCCAGCTGTGTTCACTGAGAAGATCTAAAAAAAAAACAAAAAAACAAAAAACTGACACCCATGTACCCATGAGCATCCTGAGGGCCCAGATCTTGGTTTTAAACACCATTACCCAATCAAGGGAACCAGGGTTTCTTGGAGAAGTGGTTAATTCCAGGGTCAGAGCAGGAAAAATAAATGTAAATAGATTTGCATGTTCCAAG